CCCCAAAACCCCAAAACCCCAAAACCCCAAAACCCCTTTTAAATTAAAATAATTCCGCAAATGTCTGAACTTCCCTCAGATGAGAAATTTGATAGACTATTAGACTCGATGACTGACTGATTTGAAGAAGAGCTTCAGAAATTGAATATTGAAGAATGCAAAGAAGAATTTATTAAACAGCTCAAACAAATGCACATCCCTGGATATGCCGAAGGAGATCAGGAGCCAGAAAATCAAGGTAAAATTTAGGATAAATTAGCAGATTCTGACGAAGACTGGATTGATTCCACTCCTAAACCCAAAGCATCCCAGCTTGATATTGATACATTCGAGGCATATTTAAAAATTGGTTTGCCAAGCATTAAAAAAAAGGCTGAAGCTAAGATCTTGAGCAAGGTAAGTTTTTATGTTTTCCATCTTTACCAGAATTAGTTAAACATTACTTCAAAACAACTGATACACCGAATGAAGGACTTTAAGAGGACCATTTTTCTACCTGAACCAATGCCTCTTTCCTCCTCTGAAGAAATCGAAGATGAGGATACTTTCTGAGTGTTCAAATTTGACTCTGATACTGGTGATGACAAAGAGGTAGAAGAACTTTACCAAGAACTGCTCCAGGAGAAGGAATCACTTAAATCCATCCTACTAGAATCTAAGAAGAAGTACCGTGAAGTTCAAGTCGAAGAGAACAAGGAGATCATGGATCTTCTTGAAAAGACAGATTTCTCTACCTATAACTTCAAGTATTCCCCACAAGGTAATTTTGAGTGATAAATTCCAGACCCGGATAACATTAATCAGCTAGCATCAGCGGAGAGTCAACCAGATCATCCACAGACCATTACTTCCTCGATCAAGGCCTCTGACTTCGTCTCTGATTTGGTCAGAGACTCAGAAGAGAAAACAGAAGCTGCTTTTAAGAGGAAAGAAGAAAATATTAAGAAATTGACCGAACTGCTTGAAAGAATTGAAGCAGCTTAAAATCAGTTAAATTTTCAAAATTATTGGAAAATTATGGGGTTTTGGGGTTTTGGGGTTTTGGGGTTTTGGGGTTTTGGGGTTTTGGGG